ATTTTTGACACCATGCCTTTTCTTTGAAACTCAAAGACTTTAAGAACGATTAACAGAAGCTAAATCGAATTTCCAAGCAACCTGATATGAAGCAAAACAAATTCTTTTATCCCAGGCCATTAGGCTTTAAAAGCCAAATAAAAAATTAGCCAAAATGTAATTTGATGTCTTTTTTTTACAATCTAAATATATTTTAGTATATTGCAACTGTTAAATAATTTTCTCTAAAACATTAAAAAATAAAAATTTGGCTACTTTTGTAAACCTCTGGAATCTACACCTAATGGGTTCATGCAATAATAAATTCCTCTGCATGAGGATACATTCCTGGGACCTTTTAAGGAGGCCTGGTTTATCTTTTCCTTGCAAAGCAATCACTTGATCCCACGTGCCTGGGAAACTTTCATCCAGTCTCCAATCTTCCCTTTTTGGGGAAGATTGTGGAAAAGATGGTTGCTCAACACCTACAGGGGATTCTGGATGAAACAGATTTACTGAACCCCTTTCAGTCAGGATTGGCTATGGGACAAAGACAGTTTTGATTGCATTCATGGACAATCTGTGTTGGGAGCAGGATGAGATAGTGCAACCATTCTCACTCTTCTTGACTTCTCAGTGGCCTTTGATACCATTGACCATGGTATCCTTTTGAGACATCTACATGAATTGGGGCTGGGTGGCACAGTTTTGCACAGGTTCAGTTTCTTCCTCCAAAGTCAGTTCCAATTGGTGTTGATAGAGATCCAACCCTTGACCATTTCCTTGCAGTATCCCACAGGGCTCGTTACTCTCTCTTGTTTTAACAGCTACATGAAGCCATTGGGTGAGATCATCTGTCATCATGGGTTGAGATATCATCAATATGCTGATGATATTCAGCTCTACATCTCTATACATTGCGACCTGGGTGATCCTTGGAGGTTGTAGGGATCTGGATAAGGGACCACAGACCTTAGCAAGACTGAGTGGCTTTGGGTGCATGGAGCCTCAGGATCTGAGTGTTTGACTTCCTTAGTTCTGGACAGGGTCGCATTACGCCATTCAGACCCAGTTTGCAACCTAGGGGTTCTCCTGGACTTAATCTCCTGCTCACAGAGCTGGTGGCTGATGAGACCGGAAGAGTTTTGGCACACTCTGACTTGTGCATTGGTTACAACTTTTCCTGGATCATTACTCCCTGTGCTCAGTTACTCAAGCCCTGATCATCTCTCTTCTTGACTATTGCAATGCAGTATACATGAGACTACCCTTGAAGCCCATTTGGAAGCCTCGGCTAGTACAAAGTGCAGCAGCGAGAGCAGTCTTTGGGGCCCCTATAATGGCCCATAGTACACCTCTGCTCTGAGAACTTCACTGGTTACCAGTCTGCTTCTAAGTGCAGTTCAGGGCATTAATTATGACCTTTAAAGCCCTTAATGGCATAGGTCGAGGCTACCTGATGAACCCCCTCATTCCACAAGGACAAGCCCTTTCTACTCATGGCAGCAGAGGGAGCCTACTTTGGATCCGGTTGGTCAAACAACTCTTGACTATCAGGATCCAGAATAAGAGCCTTCTCTGCTGCACCACCTGCCCTTTGAAACATCTTACCCTCTAAGATAAGATCTGCCCCTACCTTTCTATCTTTCCACGTGAGCCTGAAGACCTGGCTCTAACAGTTGGCCTGGAGACCAACTGGAGGTAGCTGTTGGATTGATGGCAGACGTCACCTCACCCCTTGCTCTCTACTCTCCACTCATCCATCTTCTTGGTAATCTTATTGATGTATTCTGGTCGTGTTCCTTTTTCATTGTTTATTTCATGATTCTATTATTTTACTTCTGTTCTGTTTACACTCCTTTCATTTTCTTTTTATTATTGTAAGCCACCTAGAGTAACCCCATGGCAATATGCGACAAATAAATTTAACAAATAAAATAAATAATGCTTTAATGAGCCTTAGGTTATTCTCCTCTGTGGTATCATATAATTTGGCATTATGACGAGAGCCATGGTGGCACAGTGGTTATAATGCAGTACTCTAGGCTACTTCTGCTGACTGCCGGCTGCCAGCAGTTCTGCAGTTCAGTCTCACCGGCTCAAGGTTGACTCAGTCTTCCATCCTTCCGAGGTCGGTTGTTATGGCATATGTAGCACACTCACCATATACTGACATTTCAGTGTTTTCTATGATTTGTAAAGAAACATTTTCTTTACGTATTAATTTTATTTTCTAGTTGTGGAATTATGGCTGTTGGCCCCAAACAGTTTAATTTCTCTCTGTTTAGATACCATTCCTTTTACTGATACTCTCTCAGTTCAAAGTTAAAGAATCATTTCATCCCATTGTTTATCCTTGCATTTAATGAAGGCAGTTTTGCTATGGAAAATCTTTTATTATAACTTTCTGTGTCTGATATAACTTGCAGAATTCTGTACTGTTGCTGAATATTTCTAGTGAAGGCTATATCAAAAGCCATATTATTTGCAGATTAATACTATGATTTGATTGATAAAAGTCCATATCTATTGATTTATTTTTATACCAATTTTTGTTTATAGATTGCGAAAACAATCTTCCCCATCTGTAAAATGTTTAAAAATGAATCTGAATTTTTAAAAGTGCAACCATTTCTAGTATACACAGGACTTCAAAACTGCATGCTCGATTATGTTTGTAATTGAGAAAAATTCAAAAGCATTTTATGAGCATGAAAAATATCAGGAGATTTACAATTCCTTAAAAATAAGTATTGTGATATTAGTCATTACTATTGTATCTCTGTAAGTTGCATCTAATCACAGTGAAAATATAAAATTGTTCTTACAATTAATATGTTTTCAGATTATTGGGGATATTCTGGAAGTGTGCCAGGATTGGTAAGTAGTTCCTAGTTTCTAGTTATTCATACATATACATGCATGCACACGCTGTTGTCGAACAATACAATTTAGTATAACATTTAAGCATGTGTAAATTTGTTGAAAAAATGCAAATTGCTGGTAGTATTAATTCCCACAATCTATTTAATTATTTATTTATCAAATTTCTACAGCTACCAAACTCTTAAGAAATTATTCTAGTCAGCATACAGCAAAAAAGTATAAAACAATAAACATATCAAACAGTCATATTTTAAAAAATCTCTCTCTCTCTCTTTCTCTCTCTCTCTCTCTCTCACACACACACATACACACACACACACGATTCAATCAGCAACTGAGCCACCTAATGATCTCACTGGTCCCCTGAGACCCCCAGGCCTGATGAGGGACTACTAGAAAATAAGGAGTAATGGAGCTAATCTCACTTTTGGTGTGTATGTGTGTGTGGGAGAAATATTTCATAAACAGATGCCACAGCAGAGAATGCTTGCCCGCCTAGTGTAGTTCCCTGAGAGATTGGACACACAGCATCCCTCTCTTGCTAGATCTGATGGCATAAGCAGAGGTAATTGGGGGGAGGGAGTTCCTCAGATAACCTGGCCCCATAGCATGGAAGGCTTTAAAGATCAAAAACCACATCTTAAATTGGATTTAGGCATGACATGTGCTAGTCTAGAAGCAGACATAACTGCCCGTGCTGCTACATTTTGCATTAGCTGAAGTTTCTTGATATTCCTCAAGGGCAGCCCCATATAGAGCACATTACAGTAATCCAATGGGGGGGGAGGTGACTAGGGTGTGAGTAATTGTGAACAGAGCCTTCCCCCCTCTCCCCTCCTGCTTTGGAAACAGGTATAACCGATGAACTACACAAAACTGTACAAAAGCCCTCTTAGCCATGACTACCACCTGTTCTTCAAGCAGGAGCCTGACACTGGGATAAGATATCGATTTTTTTTCTTCCATTTAATTCTGTCCAGTTCTCAGAGACTTCCTGGACAAGTCCCTGTAGTTTTCTCAGCAAGGTTTTTCAGAAGTGGTTTGCTATTGCCTCCTTTCTAAGGCTGATAGAAAGTGACTAGCCCAATCACCCAGCTGGCTTTGTGCCTAAGGCAGGACTAGAGTTCATACTCTCCCAGTTTCTAGCCTGATGCCTTAACTACTGCACCAAATATATTGATGATACTTCATGATAAATGATCTTACCATATATCATAGCATAAAGGGGCCAGAGATGGAATCTCCCCTCCCCATTAACCATCATCTGGAACCAAACATGGAGAAACAGGGTGAATCAGCACAACCAGTGCTGCCAACCCCCAATTCCTTGAGCCAATCAAGAAGGATAAAATGGTTGATGATATTGAAAGCTGCAGAGAGGTCAAATACAGCAAGGATAGATGTTGCTTGGTTTGCCAAGATATTGTATGCCAAGATAACATCATCCGTATATTTTCAAAAATTTTACTTTGACCCACTGACATTGTCTGATTTTCTTTGATTTAGAGAATAACCATACATGATCTTGAATTTCTGTAGTAACAAGACAGTTTTCTATTCTATTTTAAAAACATCAAATATCAAACAATGCACAGCATAGTTGAATCTTGGACTAATTTCTACAGAATGCTTGATGATGATTTTGCCTTAAAATCATAGTTAATCATAGTTAAATATAATTGAAAGTTTCAATACTACAATCTCTCTTTTGTACATCAGTAATCTTTAGGCATGGGTGCAGGCACAGACACAAACAGACATAGACACACATATTTCTCTCTATTCCATGGAAGAGGGAAAAGATTATTTCTTTCTACCTTTGCCCTTACCCAGAGATGGGGAAGATCAGATTGTAGGAAAAGTGTCCTAAAACAACAGTATCCCAGTGTTCAAAGCAGCCTAGAGGACTTGCTGTTTTGCAAAACAAGTACTTGTTACTTGTCAACAAACCATATATTACCGAGTAGGCCTCTAGAAGTAATTGGTAGTGTATGACCCTGTAAGTTACACATAAGTGTCTGTTTTAGAAATCTAGATGACTTAAGTATTTTGACTGGCTTTTTTTCCTTTTGATTATTTTAACACTTTATATAAATTTTCATTAATGCAAAATGCAACTCTGCTACTTTTATTTAAGTAGTTTTTTTAAATGTTCACACCTTTCAGACAAGCAGTTCCCTATTTGTAAAGTATTGTTAACAGACATGCAATCCTAATGGATGATGGATGCTTCCTTGAAGAAATTAAGAACAGAAAATTCAACACATAAATATTGTGAGGTGGACTAGCTCAATATTAATTCTAAACAGAAATTGCATATGTTAATTCATATAGCTATTTGCAGTTTAATTACATATCTGTCAAATAATGATGTCTCATAATGTTAATTTTGATAATCTTGCTTTAAAGGAAGAAATGGTGAATTGTTTCTGCTGAGAAAAAAATACCTGTTGAAAAGAATAAAATTATATTGCTAAATATTTGAAAAGCTTAACCCATTTTATTAGGCATTTAGATCTTTCTTTAATAAAGAAAAATACTTTAATTATTATCAGTGTGCTACTTAAATTTATCAAAAGAACCTTGGAATTCTTTTTTTTTGTGTGGAAAATTTGGATTTGAGGCAATTTTTTGATTAAGTGTTAAAACATTTTCACCTGAATATGCCACCAGCCATTATTTTATTGTATTCACTTGCAGACCTAGTAGTATTTTATTTCATTTAAATTAGGGAAAAAATGCTTGCTTGTATAAAAAGAGATAGTAATTCAGTACTGTTTCTTCTTTCAGGTGAACGGAAGAGCCCTTACGTAGCAGTATGCTGTATTGCAATGGCCTTCAGTATTCTGTTTGTACAATAAAAATGGGAAAATGTTAAGAACATACTGCTGTCAATTTGCAATCAAATAAAAGACTTGAAGAAATAGAAGACAAAAATAACATTTTACACCTCAATTTCTTTGTTTGGACAAGAAAAACTTTTATGTTGCAGTATTTTTGGTTAAAGAGCAGTGATGTTGAAAGAAATACAGCTATTAATCCTTTTGATTAGACAACCTTTATTTATATTAATTATTCTATATTTCAGTAAAGACTTTAAAGACTACAACAGTGAGTTATGTCTGCCAATGTTGATTTGATGCTAAACCCCAAACCCTTTTAAATGCTTTTTATGTAAAAGTCTTTACTTTTAGTTTTTTCATGTTGCTATAGGAAAAAAATCTTAAATTATAGACAAAAAGAAAGTAAAATTGTATCATAATAGAAAATAGATGCTGATAGTCCTCGACTTACAACTATTGATTTAGTGAGTGTTTGAAGTTATGACATGAGAAAAAGTGGTGACCGGTCCTCACACTTTCAACTATTGCAGCATCCCATCATCATGTGATCAGAATTTGGGCATTTGGCAACTGGCATGCATTTACGACAGTTTCAGAGTTGTAGGGTCACAGCGTTGTGATTGCCGCTTGTGACCTTCCCAGATGGTGTCCAACAAGCAGTCAGTGGGGAAGCCGGATTCACTTAATGATCATATGGTTCACTTACCAACTGCTGTGATTCGCTTAACAGCCATGCCAAAACAAGTTGTAAAATTAGGCACAATTCACTTAACATCCGCTTTGCTTAGCAATGGAAATTCTGGTCCCAAGTCAAGAACTAACTGTATATTAAACTGTAAGGGAGAGTTAAACTTAAGCAGACTATTTGGGACAGAAGATTTCAAATCCAGTTCATTAGAGCTTTTCTAATTGTTATGTTTATAGATTTTACACGTTATAAAGTACCTGCAATAGAAAATAATTTTAAAAAGACTGAATTCTGTTCTATTATGACTTTATAAAACAAATGCTTCTATATAATACAATCAGCTGTTAATATTTATGGTTCACCTTGAATCTGCTTTTTAGTAAACAATTATATACACTTACTTATGGTTGCAAACTATTAAATTTCGGAACTTAAATTTCATACATGTATTTCTGTCACCTATTGGGAAATTAAATACAATCTGGATTTTTTTTTTCAAAAACTGCCAAATAGTGTCTTTTAATTATTTCACCAGTATTAGCATTTTATTATAGTGCTTCAAAAACTGAAAAGAGCAATTAATATTAGCTTAGTGTTAGCTGAAATCAATTATCTAATCTGATCTCTATTTGCCTATTACCTACTTAATGTATCAGTATAATTGTACAACTAAATACTCCTTTGACTTTTAACTTAGTTCACAAATCATGAGAAATATTTTATTATCCTTAAATATAAATTTATACAAATTGTGCTCAAACAGCTCTATCGTGAGAATTGTATTCTGAACTATTGATTTTTCGAATTATTACTCTACAGATGGTCCTCATTTAATAATCACTTATTTAGCAACCATTCTAACTTGTGATGTCACTGAGTGGTATTTATGATCTGCCCTTGAAGTTCTCACCATTGCAGCACTCCCAGGTTACATGATCACCTTCCCCAGCAGGAAGTCAGAAATTGCAATTACATGAGGTCCTCGCTTAATGATCTGCCCAGACCTCAGTCATGATAACTGGGACTGCTTGAACTGTTGTCACTAACTAGCAAAGTCATGTGATGTCATCCTTTATGTCCATATCACTTAGCAACAGAAATTCCAGTGCCAGTTACTGTTATTAAGCGAGGATTACTTGTAGATTAATTTGAAGGATCATGAGAAGAATAAAGCAATATTAAGTAGATATTGTTAAACATTGAAAATGATAATAGTATGGGATTAATTTGGAAAAGATGTGTGGAGATATTTAGCGTTTAGTAATTTTTACACTATAGATAATCTTCAGTTAACAACTAATAGTTTAGTAACCATTTGCAATTATAGTAAAAAAGTAACTTTGCAACCAATCCTCTCACTTATGGCTTTTGCAAGTCTATGAAGCAAGGGAAAGCTGAAGATCATAAGTGTAGTTTTACTTAGTGGCTCCTTCATGTAAATATCAAGTTGTTGGTCCCAATTGTGGTCACTAAACAAGGATTACCAATATTAAGGTGTAAATTTATTTGTGAAATTAAAAATGTTCGGGAGGGGAGTCTGCGAGCATTGTAAAACAATCATGCATACAATATTTTCAAAGTAAAACGTGAGGAGTGATGTATTGTGCAGCATGCGGTTATAATAATACTAAGAAATATTGTACTACATGATGTTCCTCAGAAGCTTACCAATTTGAAGGAATGATAAATTCTGTTTTCATTTAAAGTCTGGCAAAGAAGATAGTGATACCAAAAACTACCGTATTTTCCGGCGTATAAGACGACTTTCTAAACCCTGAAAATCTTCTCAAAAGTTGGGGGTCGTCTTATACGCCCAATCGTCTTACACGCCGGAAAATACGGGTATTCTATTTTATTCCTTTACACGTGTGGTTTGGCATATTACTCATCAAGTTTTGTCTCCCTCCCCCTCTCTTGCTCAAACTCTATAGTTTAACTGGAAAAGTTGGGGGTCGTCTTATACGCCCAGTCGTCTTATACGCCGGAAAATACAGTACTTCCTTAAGCTATGCCTAAATAGGATGTTCCATTCCAGATATTTATAAGGATTTTAAAATATTTTTCTGAAAAGAAGATACAATTTTTCTTGCATAATTAAGTTTGAAATTAGAAGAATATCTTCTGTTCTTTTAATAGAACCTCACCAAGAGTGAGGACTCTAGAAAAATATGGGAAGTTCGTACTGATTGCTTCCCCCCCCCTTGTATCTATATTTTTGCATCTTAATACTTAGAGAACTGTTTTATTTTTAGTTGTAAATTACCACAATAGTCTATTTTCACTAAATAATGTTTTTAAAAGTTCTTTTAAAAACAACATATTTTCAAATGAATTGACATCTTAAGGAATATATCAGAAGGTTTGAAGCTAAATGGTGGGGGGGGAAACACTTTCAGAGCCTTCATAACTTGTTTTCTTATTTTCAGATAACATGGTCTTCTACAGCTCATGCCATCAATTTTTGGGATTATAATCCAAACCAACACACCTGGAAGATTGATGGTTTGGATCTTAAAACGTGTTAATGTAAAAACTATATCATGTACTAAATTTGTTTGAAGGAGATACATTCATGTAATTCCTTTATAACTTGAATAATTAGGATAAGAAGCCAGTGTGGATAAATTGTTTGCATACTAATCTGCATAGTATAATCATAAAGAGTTACAAAAATAACTTTTAAGAATTGACAAAGCTTCCTATTGAGTATATAGCAATTATTATTACAAAGGATGGTAGTAGTCAAAGAAATACCCTATTTTGCAAAAGACTAAAAATGCTTAAGTTGTGATAATTTTTATCTTTGTTTGATAGACCTGCTGTATTGTAATTAAAGTGAATATTCTTATTTTCTTAAACATTTGTCTATTATTTAGTTTCACATGTGGCAAACAATTATTTTGCAATTTTCACCTATATTTAAAAACTTCATATGACATTAATCATATATGTAAAGGTAGAATGGAGATTTAGATTTATCAAGTCTGCAATACTATCTTAATGTTTCAATGAATAAATGTTGATAAAATGCTCAGTAAAAGATCATTTTTCAAACTTTCCTGTAAACGGGTTTTATATTTGCAAGGGATAAGAGAAGGTTCTAACTTATTCTAGTGTAGTAATATGAATAATTCTTCCTTTTCACATCTTCCATCATTTTTTTCCACTTTTTTTTTAAAAAGTACCCATTTTACAGGGGAAACGCCTCTATAAAATAATGTTATATTGAAATGTAATGGTTAGGAAAGCAGCACAAATTAATAGTTATGTGACTTCGTGAAAATGTAACAAAATGGACAATATATCTTGCTTAAGCTGCACATTTATGCCTCTCTAATGTGTAAAAACTAGATAACTATCAGGTCTTTTAGTATTAAAAAGTAAAAGGAGAAAATGTTCATTTTTTTTAACAAACCACCTGGTCTGAAATATAATCTTTGGATATCACAAGTTTGGCAAAATATACTCTTTCCTATAGCCAAGTTTATGAAAAGATATGACCATATGGGAGTAACAAAATTTGTAAAAGTTAACATGTTTGGTTCCATCATAATGATAGTTTGGAGAGGGGAAAGAAAATCAATTTTATGTGAACGAGAAATGAACGTTTGATTTCACCCTTCTGTCTGACCCCATATTCTCTTCCTCATTTATTTGGACCTGAATCTACCACACTTGAACATCTGTTTCCTGTAACAACCCTTATGGGCTATTGAAATGTACTTTTTATACATTTTCTCTTACTGGTTTTCCTCTCAGATGGGAAAGAAAAGCTTTTTTAAAAACACCCTCAAACTTGAAAAGATTCACTACCTGTTCATAGTATCTTAACTGAAGTCAAGAAGCTATTTCCTAATCTCACATATTTTGGAAAATATATTTTTGAAAGGAGGCAAATTGATGTATTCAAAACTAGACTGCATGATCTCTCTGTCTCATTTAGTATATTTCATAAGGTTCTGCTCTAGATTAGTTTTGGGTCAGCTTGAAATATTGCAGATAATACTTCTTTACTCACAAATTTGTATGCTAGGAACAGCAATGTGCTAAATGTTGTTAGGATATTTAATGTTAGAATAGTTAACAAAATTGATGTGATAATGGACCTGAAATGGATCTGATTATGCTCTGGGGTAAATAAGTTTTGGATTTCCTTCCTTTTCTATGCTTCAAACATAAAAAGACACAATTTGCCTCCAATGCATATTATAGTTTCTCTCTTTTCAGGCTGGCATCCTCTCTATTAGTGACAGTTTAAATGTGTTTATATATTTAAAATAAAAGGATAGCTTGTATAATGTATATATTTGAATATATTACAGAGATGAATATACTACCAGAAGCATAGTTTCTTTGTGATTATTTCAAACTGGATGCCAAGTGATTTCAATTAACTTTGGAATAACAGCTTCAATCAAGTTCATAGATGCGGGGAATTAGGCAGCATATAAATTAATAAATTATTATGGTAGTCCTGCAGTTGTTGGCCTTTGATTGCTTAGCCAACAATCTTGAGTCCTGTAGCCCACCAGATGTCCAGAAATTCCAACACCTACCATGGTCCTTGTTGACTCAAACAACGACCAATCCAGTATGAATTTCTATAAACTTCATCTCACCACTTTGTTTATGGGAAAGACACTCTTCATCTGTTTTTTCTGACGAGACCTGTCCAGTATGGTTCAACCTCTGGCATTGCTCTCATCTTCCTCAGAACCCCCAAGCCCCACAACCACATCAAGGTTTATTCAAATACATGTAGGTGTACCACCAGCTCTTCACATTTTAAATGGAGAAGTAGATGTGTTTTGTTAGGTAGTCCAGGATGACTGTGTGATTGTTCCAGTGTATGCAAACTTTGGCTTAAATATGGCTTAACTCAACAAATGTTTTGTTGGGCTTGAACCATATGAGATTCTGTAGGTAGGTACTATCATGTTTTATCAATAATATTTAGGATATATTGTGATGTGCTTTTAATGAGTGAAAAAACAAAAAGGTATGCGTGTATGTGTTTTAATGTGATTTGCGGTAAAAACCAGCACATTTGTAATGGGTTATTCTGGATAGTAATATTTTGCACAAAGCAGAACTGTACAAAATGGGTGCTCCAA